CCCCCGGCAGCCCCCCGCGTAACATCACCACTAACCGCATCCAGAATGTATCCCACAGCACGAGGTTTGTTGCGCAAGTGAAAACAAACGCGCTTGCGAAGCTGCTACAAGTGCTATCATGCTGAAGCTGCTAGCGCTGCTGCTGTATGGAGTAGATGCATCGTCACTTGTTGCGGCTAGATGCGGGGTATGACTAGTTGACGGCACGACTTTTTATGGCCAGCTAGCCTAGCGCGCGCAGGGGAGAATGGTCGCTACTGGTGTGGTGTCGTACCTGTCCGTCGCTAAGGGTCTACAGAAGTGTGCGGTGTGGGTATTTCAAGAGTTATTTGTGGTGTGCAGTAATCTTCTGTCGTAACAAGGGTGATTTGAGAGTTATGTCAAGACTGGATGTCTTTTGATCTGAACCTCCTTGCTCCGAGGCGAGCAATACCAAGTAGATGGTTAGGGCTAACCCGACTGGTGCATTTCTACCCGGGGTCGTTTGCCGTGTTGCTATTCGAGATGTCATATGACAAACGAGCTTGAATGGGCGAGAAGAGGGAGAGAGATACAGATGTGCGCTGTTTCAAGCCATACACTTTGTTCTGGTGGACGCCTCACAAGCAGCTTGGTCAGGTGTCTGGAGGTATGCATACAACGGGAGCTGGGATGGGCGGGGCGTGGTGCCTTGACGTCGCACGCGCCAACGTGACAACCAGCCCCCATCTTTCCTGCTCTCCATGGGTCCTCTCTACCTCTCACGAGACAAGGAAAGCAAAACACATACCAGTACATTGTAAAACAAGACCTGTGTAGTAAGGGCGTCCATGCACGAGACATACACGTCGAAGCACCGAAGAACACTTCGTAATTGATAGCGGGGCAGACCTCTCTACCCTCGAACCTAACCGCAGGTAGACGCACGGCAGAATAAGTTCCCTGGCTACGGACTTGCAAAGTTATCTTCGGCATAGAAAACACACCACCAGAGACGCGCGCCGAACTTTACGGTGATTTGTGTGGCGCTGCTCGATCGCTAACAGCACGTTTGATTGTACGGTCGTTTTCGAAGCATCATGCCTGCTTCCAGTCCCTGTAGCCCGCCCACGTCGGTCTCCACTCAAAACGCGGATACGAGAATCACAAAGCTCGCCTTTTGTAAGTTTTATGCATACGACATATAGTGCAGTTGATGGCGGGCGTACTCAAGTTTTTGCATGCCCTAGTTGTTACGATCATTGACCTCGCAGTAGATTTGATGAAAGGGAGGAGGCTCACAAGGAGGCTCACAAGGAACGGGGCGTCTCGCCTCTCTCGTCTCTTGTTCCCTCCTCGAAACCTTGGAACCCTCACTGCCCTGTGTCAAACGCAATCGCCATTTGCCGAACCCCAAGAGTCCCTGAGAACCAACCTAGTCGCAGGACGTCTTCCTCATTCCTCACTTAGTCAACTTTTGAGCTACAAATACACGTTTCGCCTTGCGGCAATGCGCGCTTATTCCGAGCAGTCGCTCAAAAGGAACGACTCGTCGGGGGCCTACTCTACTTTGTACCTCTCGCGTCGAAAAAAACGAGAAACAAGCCAACAACAAGACGCCAAATACGGCATAACAAAACAATAACATGGCTCGCGCCACGAGGAAAGAACGCCAACCTCGTAGGCGCGTAAATTATCCCCAACTAATCCTCAGATTGGTCCTTATACCCACATCAGGGACGTAACAAGACGTACACAATCCACAACGCTGGAGCCGTCAGTGGAGCCAGTCGTGCTGTACGCGAACCTTCCTACAGTTACTTTTCGCCCAACACGTGGCACCCCCGCTTCCCCCCCAATGCCTACACAACCGCGCCGCCCATGTATTCTCTCTGTAGACTCTGTCCACGGTGCTGATGCCATAGCTAGCAGCGGACGCTTGTTACGCGGTGCCGTAGAAACGCAGCGTCCTGTCCATCGAAGATGTGGCCTGTTGAACAGGAAAAAACAACATAAACGAAAGGATTAGAGTGAGAACTACTACAGGCACACACTCTGCAAGTCATCCCTCGTAACACCCTTTCGAACAAGAAAAAAACAACCACCACGGGCAAACAGTGAGAACTACTAATGGCTCGTACTCAGCAACCCTCCCTCGAAACATCCTGTCGCACAAAAAAACCCCGACGGAGTGAGAATAACCACTGGCGCCCACTCTGCATATCATCTCGTAACACCCGTTCGAACTAAAAAAAAAAACAAGAGAAAATAGTGAAAACTATAATACTACTGGCACGTACGCGCGCAAGTCATCCCTCGTAACATCCTTTCGAACAAAAAAAACAACAGAGTGAAAACAACTATTGGCGCCCACTCTGCAAGCCATTTCTCGTTGTAGCGACGCGTGTTGTTCGCATCATCACAACGGCGGTGCATACAATCGTTTTTCTGGGAGCAAATGGATGACGCGTGGTAAATTGACGACACGTTGGTGTCCGGATTGTCTTACCAAGAAGCTCGCGCTCTTGCCGAACTTGACGCCCGTCACTGACCCGCCGTAGTCGCCGTAAGTAGCCAGCTCTCCCCAGGTCTTAACCGCAAACACCTGGAACATTCCATGGCACGACGACGACGCCCGATGTTCGCACATGGTATGGGGCACAATTGGTGTGCGATTTGTCTACCAGAGCTGGAAGTAGATGCGTGTGAGGCTTTCTAAGCGCCAAGATGGCAGCAGAGCGGGTCGCTCGCCAAAGCGTACGCCGAGGAAATCCAACCAAGCATCAGACATGAACATGCGTCGTGTGGCGTATGCCTTACACAGAAACAGCTGCACCAAGAGAGAGAGAGAGAAAAACACATCTCACGTCGGCATCCATCCATTTCCATCAGACCGCACACAAAAAGAATTGCCCATACTCCAACAACACCCACCACTCGACCACTCGACAAGGGTTTCTCTAACCGCGCACGCCACTCACATCCTGCCTAACCAGCATGCGGTAAACCACCTTGACATCAATTGCGCGCCAACAATCCCCCCCCCCCCCCCCCCCCCCCCCCCCCCCCCCCCC